CCCCCCCCCCTCTTTCAAAAGTAAATATTTAGTCAGCCATCACAAAAGGGACCAATGATTTCGATACTTTTCAGCCTTTTCAATTTTTAGTTTAGACCTAAGGTATCATCACCACCAAACCGCCGCTTGCCACACTGTGTGCAAGAGCAGTGCACAATGCACAGTGCACATTATCACATTATAACCTGTGAAGGAAAGTAAGTGTGGCAAAAAAAGTGGCCCCGACTCTTGAGATGAGACCCGAGAGAGGGCAAAAAGAAAGAGAGAAAAGAAAGAAACTTTAAAGTGGCCAGGCCCTTGTCTAGTGAGAGAACGATATTTTTTTCAAGTGGTGCAAGTGGTTGCTTGCAGGCATTGATTGAATGAATGAAGTGGGCAACAATTGAACCCAGGGTAAATGCTTTTTGCTGTACTGATCTCCTCAATCCTGGTCTCTCTCTTTCTCTTTCTCTCTCTCTCTCTCTCTTTCTCTGCACATTTGCATGTCTGTTATCGTGTCAGTAAGTGCACCGGTGTTTCAAGCCTAATCTGCCTTTTTCAAGTGGTACTTTTTGCCGTCATCACCACCACCACCACCACCACCATCACCCTCATCATCACCGTCATCCTCTTTTTACGATGTGAAGCACATCGTGTGCGGCACCATCACCACCACCATCACCACCACAGAGCTTGTTCACTTTATCCGCCGTCCTCTCTTCACTTCACTTCCAGGCATTATTATTACTTAATATGTCTTCTTAATCATAGAATGTCTCACCAGAGGGGATCTGAAAGAAGGGAAGGAGGGACGGATACACACAGAAAGGCAAAANCATCACCACCACAGAGCTTGTTCACTTTATCCGCCGTCCTCTCTTCACTTCACTTCCAGGCATTATTATTACTTAATATGTCTTCTTAATCATAGAATGTCTCACCAGAGGGGATCTGAAAGAAGGGAAGGAGGGACGGATACACACAGAAAGGCAAAACGTTTTTTCTTTATCTTTTTTCTCTACCAGCTATTTAACATAACGTGTTCTCATTCTGTTCTGTTTTGCTCTGTTCTGTTCTGTTGGTGCACGCTGTTGGCCAATTTGTAATCGCCGATTAATCCGATCAACGCGGCATAACAGGGCGACCACCGTGTTACGTCGCATTTGCTCTTTTTTCTTCATTGTGTGTGTGTGTGTGTGCAAAAGCCTCGTGCACCCTTCAACCAAAAAGCCTTCCTCATTGCCATCAAATGTCTCACTTTGTTGCAGCAGCAGCAGCAGCAGCTAAACGACGAGCCTATTTAAATGAAAATTAAATTGAGTCACCGAACACCAAAGGCTCTCTTTTTCGGAAATCTGTTAACAGAGTGTGTGTCAATTACCGTGTGGGGCTGGTACTTGAAAAGAGCAGCCTGCCTGCCTTCCTGCCTGCCAGATTGGCTAAGCTTTAGAAAATATAAATTTGTGTGTGTGTGTGGTAAATTGGTTAGCCATTTTTTCCGTCTCAATTTGACGCAATATTTGTGGTGCACACACCGCTGGGGGCTCTCTTTCTCTCTTTCTTTTTTTTTGGTGAACAGCAGATTTGCATTAGCGCAGGAACAGGAACTTTAATAGCGCAAAGCCTAAGTACACAACAGCAGCAGAAGAACATGCTTAATAGGATCAACGACGGCGGCAGCGGTAATACTGTGTCTTCGTTTTGGCCTCACTGCAAAACTATTTGGAAAACTAAACAAAAAACGATTTTGGGGCTACCATTGGCGGAAAATTGATTAAATTTGCCGGTTAATTAGTTGAGGATGCAAAATGTGAAGAAGTGTGTGCAGGTAAACTAATAATTAATTGACTCATCAGTAAAAGTTAGTTTAGGTAAGTAAAGGTTTTGTTTTAGAGCAAATACTTTTGTTTTATTAGTAAGCTTTCTTGCTTTGTTGTTGTTCACTGTTATTGTTGGTTTTGACACTGGGTGTGTGTGTGCTTGTTTGTTTGAGTGAGACAAGTTAAAAGAGAAAAGATTACAAAATCAGTTAAAAGACGATTTTAAAAGTTCAGATGTGTGTGTTTGATAGAGCATAGGTGAAGAACATGAATATATGGACAAGAAGAAGAAAAATAAGAGGGAAAAAGAGAAAACGAGTAAGAAGAAGAAGCATTTGACAAATTGAGATCAAATAAAAAGTGTAATCGTATAGCAAGAGAAAGAGAGCAGTATATTAGAATAAATAGTAATAATAAATATTAGGAGTTTTAGTAGTAATAAAGAGAGACAAAATTAGAGCAAGGGAGAGAAAGAGAGAATGAGTGACAAAAAGGATTCAAGAAATTGCCATTTGAATGTAGAGCAATGGCAATTCCTTTGGTGATGGTGATATTGCTGTGTGGGCGTTGCTGCTGCTGCTGCTGCTGCTGCTGCTGCTGCTGACAAAAACAGTTTGGGGCAGTTTATACATCTCAATAAACTTTAAAAGAGGGTTAGAGCAGGAGGGAGAGAAAGAGACTCAGAAAAGCGAACACAAAAAATAATAAAAGAACAAAAAATAGAGCAAAAGATAGGGAGAGAGAGAAAGAGAGAGAGAAAGAGAGAAAAATTAGAGATTAGAGCTCAGTGACTGACCGACTCAAGCTGGGGGTGAAGGTGGTGGTGATGGTGGTGACCAACAACACCGAACTGCTCTCGCATGATAGAGTTGATGGAGTAGTCCTTGAGGGCGGCCGCCTTTCCCTGGTGGTGGTGGTGATACTGTTGATGACCATGGTGAATGGTGACCACAGTGTGGCCATTGGGGGCGATGCGGTCCACCACCAGGCGGTCACTTTCCTCGCTGCCGACGGCCACGGTCAAGTTTAGGCTCGAGTTTGAATGAGAACTGCCATTGCTGCTGCAGCTCGAGTTGCTGCTGCTGCTGCTGTCGCCGTCTGGTGAGGCGGATCGAAAGTACAGGCCGGGCAGTGTTGAAAGGTGGTCCCCAGAGGGCGACCTCGTCGCCGTCGAAGAATGCCGTTTTAGCTGTTGATTTTCCAGCTCATTTTCATTGCCGTTCTCCGCAATGACCAGTGGTTTTTGCTGCTGTTGATGATGTTCCTCCTTTTCCTCTTCCTCTTCTTCTTCTTCCGATTTAGATGATGAAGGCGATTTAGCAGAGCTATTGGCAGAGCCGCTGCCGTGACCGTTGCCACTGAACAGATTGGCAAAATGACATGGCTGCATTGCTTGGTCCTGGTTCTTCTTCGTTTCAATGCGCAGATCAATTGAATCGCAGTCGGCGGCGGCAGCGGCGGCAAAGTTTGCTCGACTAGAGTGCTCAAAACGATGGTAGTGCTGGGGGTGATGGTGGGGGTGATATACACCGTTGCCATTGTTATTTGTGCCCATTAAGGACGGTTGCTCCAGATCACCCCCTGAGGAGGAGTCCACCGAGGAGCTGTTGCTGGACAGATCGAGACTTTTCGTTGACAGGTTGCTCAGCTCGCCCGACTTGCTCAGCAGTGTCAGCGAAGGCGGTGGCGGACTAAACTGCGGTTTAAAGAGCGAAAAGGGGCTCTGCTTCTCATCAACAAAGTGGCCTCCTTGATTGAATGGCAGGCAAAAGTGATTTGGCGGTTTTGATAGAGACATCACTGAGTTGATATCTGTTTAAAAAATTAATTGTTAGTAAAAACAAAATATTTTCTAAAATTTAAAGTTTTTTGTACAAACCATAGGGAAGAAGGTGACCATTGCTGTGACTATTGCTGTGTAGACTAGTGTGGTGGTGCAGCGTGGGCACTGAGGCTCGCTTGTAGGCGCTGTTCACCTGCGACTGGCGAATGTTGCGACGCTTGCGCCGGCGGAAGTTGCCATTCTCGAACATGTTCTCGAACTTGGGATCGAGCGTCCAGAAGTTGCCCTTGCCCGGTTTGCCCTTCTCCCGGTTCACCTTGATGAAGCAGTCGTTCAGGGAGAGGTTGTGGCGGATGCTATTCTGCCAGCCCTGCTTGTTGTCGTGGTAGTAGGGGAAGTGGTCCATGATGTACTGGTAAAACAAAAAAAATAAAGTTAGTTTTATCCGTTTTTATAAAGTAAAAAATATCAAATAGAAACTTACCTTGTAAATGCCATTCAGGGTGATCTTCTGATCAGGTGCCGAGCGAATGGCCATGGTGATCAGGGCAATGTAGGAGAAGGGCGGTTTCTGGTGACCTGCTCCTCCATTACCGGAAGCAGAAGAAGATGAAGAGGATCCGCCAGATGAAGTCAATGTCTGCTGCTGCTGACTGGCCACTGAAGCGTAGGCGCTGGCCAGCTGGGCGGCCGCCGTGGCCACTTCCGCCGTGGTCAGAACGTTTGGAGAAGTTGTGGCAGCGGTTGTGGCTGTTGAAAAGCCATGACCAGCAGCAGCGGCGGCGGCGGCAGCTGCAGCAGCTGCAGCTGTGGTCAGTCGATTGAAGAAGAGGGGCGACAAGGAATCTCCCCCAACAGGCGAGGAGGAGGTTTCCAATTTGCCTGCTGCAGACTGCAGCGTAGGTGAAAGTCGTCGAGAGAGATCGATGGCATCGCAGAGGCGCTGGTTTTGCTGCTGCTGCTGTTGCTGCTGTAGAAGTTCAGACTGTTCAGTGATCATGGCCGCTGAATTGCTGCTGGAGCAACTGCTCATCACCCCCAGCGGTGGAGATGAAGAGTGCTGGTTGCTGTTGTTTTCCACCGGAAAGGTGAACAGACTTTCCGGTTGCTGGGGCGGCGGCGGCTGCTGCTGCTGCTGAACATTGCCACTTTGAGCGGAGAAAAACTTGCTCAAGGCAGCTGAAGCTGACGGGCTAGTGTCACTCCCCAGGAAGGAACTGCTCAATTTCTGCTGTTGTTGCTGCTGCTGTTGTTTCAGCAGCTGAGAGAAGTTCAGCGCAGCAATCAGCTCCAGATAGGTCTTGTAGGGAAGTTCAGGAGCGGCTGTCTTTTCCGCCATCAAGGGCATAAAGCTGGGACTGGAGTTGATAAAGGAAGACAAAGGTGCCGGAGGAGAAGAAGGAGAGGAGTTTGCTGCTGGTGGAAGAGGAGGAGGAGAAAGCGAAGGAGTTTCCGGTGCGATTCCGCCTCCATTGGACAAATGCTGCTGATATTTTGCACTCAAACTAGACAACAACTCCGTCTGATGGTGGTGAAGTTGCAGCTGCTCCAGAGTGCTCGGGTAAGAGGCGAAGCCAGTGGGAGGAGAGCCCAGGGAACTCTCTTCTGATTGCGAAATTTTTTTCAGCGATGATTGCTGTGATCCAGTAAAGTGATCTGATTCAATCAAATTTTTGCCTGCTGCAGTTGAAACGTGCGGCGGCGACCAACTGTTGCTGTTGTTGTTGTTGCTGTTGGCACAGTGTTGCTGCTGCTGCTGCTGACTAATAAGTAAGTTCAACTCGGCCAGATTGGCCACTGCCGGGTGCATACTGTGGGGATGATGGGGGTGATGAGGGTGATGATGGCTAGCAAGTGATGCGAGGTAGGGGTGAGCAGATGTAGGGTAGCTCAGTTGCGGTAGCTGGGACATGATGGTGGTGGTGGTAATACTCTTTTGAGACACTTGGAGAGAATTCTCTATAGAGATTTTACTGAAACAGGCAGAAAAAATAGTAGAGCAAAGTAGAAGTGATTAGCAGAAGAGGCAAAAACAATTAAAAGAAGGTGATATAAAAGAACAGTAGCCGGGTTTCATTTCAAACAAAAGTTTTTTTGTTTCAATATAATTATTAGCTGCAACAGTGTAGCAGTTTAACTTAGTTTAAGCTCAAGTGATGCACAAGAAGAAGGAGAAGAAGAAGGAGAAGAAAGGAAGCTGAAGAAGCGTTTGGCAATAATTTAGTGGTAGTATTTAATAATGGCAAAGTGTAGAGCAAGTGGCAAACAAAGTGAAAAGAGAGAGAGAGAGAGAGAGAGAGGAAGAAGAGGAGAAGAGATCCGTCGTCGAGCAGAAGCAAAACTAATTTGGGCTAGATCAGCCGACGTCGAGGGGCATTTATATGTGCTCGGTGTGGAGAAGAAGAAGAAGAAGAAGAAGAGGAGGGAGACTCCTCAATGCTTTTCGGTGTA